AGATTCATAAGTGAACAAGAATGGCTACATTTTATTCAGCGCCCTTTATGCCTTATCTGAAAATAATGAACATCATCACCATTATTATAGCCAAAATAAAAATACAATAATAGCTGCCCTTATTTATTAGGAATGTACCATGTACCAGAAATAATGCTGAACACATTACGAGTAAATGAAAAAAAATTATGAACAAGTATGTGTTCCAAGTTTTACCCATGTTCTCTCAATCCATAGAGATAATTTTATCTTTGTTCTCTCAGCTTTCCTCTCTTCACAAAATTTTATGATAGTATGATTTTATTTTTCTAGCTTAGTTTCTACTTCCTGTGATGTATAATATAAAAATCGTGGCAGGTTAAGAGTGGTATGTGGAGGTAAAAGTGTAGTGAGATGGAGAAAAAGTAATGTACATGTGGTTAGGAATATTAGGAAAAACTTAGAGATGGGGTGTGGGATGGGAGGGAGGGAGAGAGAGAGAGAGAGAGAGAGACAGAGACAGAGACAGGAAAGAGGTGGACAGGGAGACAGAGAGAGGGGGAGGAGGAACCAATCCACACGCGAAGCCTGATCCCGTCTGATCTCAAAAGCTAAGCAGGGTCGAGACTGGTGAGTGCTTGGATGGGAAACCACCTAGGAAGATCAGGTGTGGTAGGCATAAAAAATAAAATATAAGGGATTGTAAGCTGACAAGGTCCTTGCAATCTGTGAGGTCAACCAAGGGTTGCCTCGCCTAAAAAACAATAAATAAAAAGTAAATAAATAATAAAAATAAATAAATAAGAGAGACTTGGAGGTCAGGTGGATGGTATAAAACTTGGAGCCTAAAAGAAATTGGGGAAAAGAGAATTTTTCATGAGTGTTTCTCTGGATCATGGATTGCATCTCCTTCAATGCCCTGTGAGAAATGCAAGTAAAGACTGGACCCAGAAGAGCCCTGAGATTTACTTGGGTCAGTGCTGAATGGTCTAATTTGATTTTCAGGACAATCTTTCCTGATACGTATGTTTATTCCATTCTATAAAGGAGACAGAGAGGTTGCATGTCTTGTCTATCATTACACAAAACAGATATCTGTTTTTCACCAATTCACATACTATTAACCACTTCACATACTATTAATTCACCAATTCACATACTATTAACCACTGCTTTGAGTTAGCCCCAATCCTGGAGTTAAATCTCCTATGGACACAGAGTATGATGTGCTATTGTTAATGCAAATACATATTTCAAATCATATATAAAGGGTAAATAATCAAGCACTAGTTTAGATTGTCAGGTCATTAATGCCTCTTCCTGTCCTAAGATTTGAGGCTTTCTCTGGGTGGTGTGCAGTGTTGCCTTGCAGTTAGGAACTTGGAGTTTAGATTCGATCTTGGGTTTGAGTCGTGACTGTGATAATGCATTATGGCTGGATTATCTCAGGCAAATGACTTCCTGTCTGAATGTGTGTGACGGCTCTCTAAAAATGAGTGTTATAACTCACAGGATTTGGAGTAAGATTAATAGGAGATAATATAAATAAAGACGTCATCACAATTCCTGGCACATAATAACCTTTTTTAAAAATTTTATTTTATTATTAGTTTCAAGTATACAGTACATTGGTTAGACATTTATGTAGTTTATAAAACAATCCCCCTAATTGTTCTTTTTTTCCTCTGGCTCTCCACCTAGCCATTACATTAATGTTAACTGTATTCCCTATGCCGCACTCCCCATGGTCCCCATGACCATCTATCAACTACTAATTCAGATAAAGAAAGATAAATACCATATGATTTCACTTATATGTGGAATCTAAGAAACAAAGAGAACAAACTAATCAAAAACAGACTCACAAACATAGAGGACAATCTGGTAATGGCCAGAGGTGAGGGGGGTTGGGGGACTGAAAGAATGGGGTAAAGGGTTAAAGAAGTACATAACCTTTTGATAAGAATTAGCCACTACATTGTTATTATTCTCAGTGTGAGCACTGCTGCCAGAGGGATTGCTGCCAACAATGTTGTGTAAACAGTTATTATTCATGGTGTATTTGCTAAATGTGGTGTTGTTTCATGAACAATTTCATGAGCATCATTCTGGCTAGCCCATGGAAACAGAAAAATGACTTAAGTTGTCATGATGGAGAGAATGAAGTAGAGTGAGGGCTGAACTGGGCACCTGCTGCCCACTGGTGAAGATTTAACCGCAGGGCTCTGCTTCACCCACTTCTTTCTCTAGAGTCTGCATTCTCCAGTTGGGCTCCAATAGGAATAGGAAACATTTCATTCCAGGTGGTGAAAAAGAAAGAAAATTGGCCTCCTATGATGTGTTAAGCATTAAAAAATGAGCCTCCAAGGAAATGCTAGGTTTGTACCAGAACTACAAATCTGTGTACAGAAACTTCTCAACCTCAACATCATTGACATTTTGGTCTAAATCATTCTTCATGGTGAGGAGCTGCCTTGTGCATTGTGGGACCTTTAGCAGCATTCCTGGCCTCTATCCATTAGATGTCATTGTCACCCCATCCAGTCATGACATGAAAATGTCTCTGGACATTGCCAAATGTCCCCTTGGGAGAAGAATCACCCCCAATTGAGAACTACTGGTACAGAGATATAGGGGGCTGTAGGAGATGCCAGCTGCAGCACAGGCACTTACCATTGACATAGAGACTATCTCTCTCCAAGGTGTAGGTGCCCAGCAGGGTGACACCATGAGTCAGATGACTCAGCTCCTGGTACAACTTTTCTCTGTCCATCCTAGAGCCCATGGTGTCAGGATGGTAGGTGCAGATGATGTCCACTCCAGTGGTTGCCCCATCCTTCTCAGTCCTAGAGTGGTAGGGCCAGGGAAATAGAGACGCTCAGAGATACCAGGGAGTTATATACTTTCTTCAGTGCTTCCTTCGAATTGACCCATTCTCCCACATTTTATAACATGCCTCTTTATTGGGTCTTAACTGGTCTCTCAAGCACATTCTTTTCTAGATCCTCTTCTAGGCCTTCTTACTCCATGAAGTGGCTGATCTCCAGGGCTTTATCCTCAGTCAACTTCTATTCTTTTGCCTCTCATTCTTCTGGGATCAGTTAGGTCATACTTGTTGTTTCCACTACCAGCTTTATTATCATGAGGTCTAATCTCAATCTATCTGACCAAGATCTCTCCTGAGCTCAGTGCCATGTAACCAACAGCCTCAGGGATGTCCTACAGACATCTTAATTTCCAAATATCCCAAATTAAGCCTATCATCTTCCTTCCTGAAAGCACAGAAACTGCTCCTCCTCCAATGTTTTCATATCTGTGCCAGAGCTAGAAATGTAAGAGAGTTTCTGAACCTTCTCTCACTCTTTCTCCCCCCATCCAAGTAATAGCCAGGTCCAGTCCAACATCTCACAGGCCTCCCTACCTCCTGTCCCATCATCACTTCAAATTTTCCATTCCTGTATATACGAGTGTCTTACTTAAAATAAATGACATCGTGTCAGGGCTCTGCTTACAAGTCTATGGTTTCCCATGGCTTGGAATAAGTATAACTAATATTTATGAAACACCTATTGTTCTACATTTGCTGTTTATTTTTATCTTTTCAGCTGCTTTGTGAAATCGATGATAATATAATTCCCACTCTACAGTTGAGCAAACAAAGTCATATAGATGTTAAAGAACTTCTGAAACATCACATGGCTAATGGCAAAAACAGATTGTGACTTCATGCCTTTGGACATGAAAACCATTAATGCTCAGCCTTTTGCTGTGCAAAATACTCTGAAAACTTCTTAGTATGCCTTGGACTACTTAGCCAGTCCCCCAATTAATGAACTTTCCTATCTCCCTTTCTTCCTTACTCCCTCTCTCTCTCCCTCATCCCTCCTTTTCTTTCTTTTTTCTTTTCTTTCTTTCTTTTTTCTCTTCTTTCTTTTATTCGATTGCTATTTTCTCCCACACTCTACTCTCCAATTTCATAGAACCTCTCTTATGCACCAGGATATTTCTCATATCTGCTTCATTACTTAAGCTGTGTCACCCATTGAAATAGCTTTGCCGATGTTTCTTCTAGCTAATGCACACTTGACTGTCAAAACTTAGCTCAGGCATTACCTTTCCAGACAGGTTCCACTCAACTCCCCCAGGCTGAGTTAAAAGTTTATTTTCTGAGACCCTATGGCCCCCATGTAGTGCTTTATCATTGTACTAACCCCATTTATATGATAATTTTAAGTCTGTGTGGCTACTGTCCCCTCTATACTGTGGGCACTCTGAGGAAAGGACTTATGACTGACTTTCTCAGTGCCCTTAGCACCTGTCACAGGGTGTGACCGTAGGTATCTCATTTCATGTTTGCTTAATGAGTCAATGCTGCAATTTCTGACAAACGAGCCTCCGTGGATCTGCTTATCCAGATCATTGAAGATGACCTCTTTCACGGAGCCCTCTTTGATGCACTCAGCCAAAGAGGATGACTGCCAAGTCTGAAGCCCTGGAGGGTCCCAATTATTTATGATTCTTGCTTTCTAGTTGTCATGTTCAGGTCCTCACCTCCAGGTGAGCTTGCCTGTGACAGTGCCTTTCATATTGTTAGAAAGGAAAATTTTACCTAAGCAGGGTCAGTCTGCAGCCAGAGTACAGTGGGCCAATGCTGGTGTTCTTGAACAAGAGACCAAGCTGAGGAGGAAGGAGAGACAGTTAAGCTGGGTGGACTGGATGGGACAAGGACAAGACAGGCCAGGGTAGGCATTGATGGGCTCTTACCAAGTGATTCAGGGCCTTCTCAGTGGAGTTGAACTTCGCAGATCCTGGATGCCTCATGTCTGGTGTATAGAGCATGTTTGTGATGGTGAAATTGAGGGTAAAGGGCACTGGGCCTGGACCCACATCTGCAGTTGGAGGGAGGGAAAGAAAAAACATAATCTTAGGCCTGAGATATATGTTGGGGGAAGGGACTAATGTTATCTCTCTGTTCATAGTGTCCAGTTGTTGAGGCCTGAGATATCCCATCTGGGACACCCTGCCTCTTCAGCCAGACAAAGGAGGAGAAGGAACCTCCACGCTAGATGTGTGACATCAGCTCAAAAGGGAGACTAACCCTTTCATCCCAGACTGTCTAAAGGCTGAGAAGTTGTGGACATTATTATGGTGGAAAGAAGAGAGGCTGAAATGTTTTTGCACTCAGACTTGCGCCATAAATACTTGATCAATCAAGAAATTCAGATCATATAATTGCCACAAAGGAAATGCCCATGGAAATAGAAAAAAGACTAGCTATATATAGGAGATGAAGAAATGCGACTTCATAAGTGGAGGTCTGAGCAAGAGCGTGTTTAGCTGAGATATGGAGGACAAGGAGGAACCAGACACAGCTGAGTTCCAAGAACAGTAAGAACATGCAAAAGCCCTGAGGATGGGAGAATGTTTAGACCCTGGAGGAAAAGAAGTGGGGCCGGTGTGGCCAGAGATTAGAGAGCAAAGGAGAGAGTGGAAAAGGCTGTGGCTAGGTACACCATGGCCCAGGCCATGCAGAAATTCATCAGTCACTGAACAGGAGTCGAAGTGTAATGGGACTCAGACATTAGATTTCTACCTGTAGAGCTGCGGGAGGGGGCCAGAGATGCTGGGGATCCTGGAGAGAATGTGGTTACCAGAGCTGAAAGAAAATACAATATAAATAAAAATTACTGAGCCCAATCATGAAGCAATGAGAGGATAGAACTGTTCATGAGAACTTGCATCTCTAGCTTGGCTTAATCTGGGGCTTCTGGTGGACTGTAACTGTTCTGGAGCTGACAACCTGGGAGATGGGGGATGCTTTTCTTCTGCTGGAATAGGCTTAGGGAAGAAGGGTCCCAGGGACATAAGGGCATCCAGGCACTCATTACTCACTGCTAGTGGTGGGAATCCAGTACTGATGGTTGTAACCTGCAGAGAGAGGCAGAGAGGAAGAGTGGGATGGTGGGAGAAGGCTAAGAACAGGATGAGGGGCAGAACTAAAGACTAGTGCACTAACCTCCCTTAGTGCTTTCTCTGAAGCTCATCAATAAATAACAGTTGCTCTTTGTGAGTTAACTGCCTGATACTCTGATGTTCATAATTTCATCCTCATGGCCCAAGTTTAGGCCTGCTTGGGCCATTCTCATTAACCAGAAAGACAATAATGATAAAAGTGCTCTCAATCTTGTGGGAGCAATAATAGGTGCAATAATTTTATATGCGTGTTTCTAGCTTTATTTGTGTTTTCTTTATCTATTAACTATAGTTTTGTCCTTACTCTCTGAGTTTCTCCCACTACCCAACTCTCCAAACACAGGTTGATGTGTGACAGTGTAGTCCTTAGACTCCTGTAATGTCGAATTGAAATAATGAAGAAAAGAGATGGAGAGGGAGAGAGAAGTGAGATTGTGAGTAGAAGAGAGACTTGAGTGTCAACCAGAGAGTATAAAGTTGAAAAATAGAGAAAATAGAAAAGAGAATTTGAATAAGTTGGTTCTGGATCATGGATTGGATCCTCTTTGATGTTCTGTAAGTAATGCAAGTAAAACTTGAACTTATTTTATATTTGATGCTCAAGTGGGTTTTTTCAATGAAATTCCTCTCTGAGACTGGGTCAAGTGGAGCCCTGTGATAAACTTGAACTTGAGTTATTCAGGCTTTATCTCATTTGACCCTCACAATACTCTTAGTTGACTTTTCTTTTTGAAATTTCATTCTGAAAATGGACACTGAAGCCTAGAGAGTTTTCATGGCTTGTCCAGGGCCACATAGTAAGCAAAAAAGCAGGGTCAGGGCTTAATTAAAGCAAGATCTATAACTCACCAAAACTCACACTGATAACTACTGCTTTTAAATAATCTCCAGGTTCCAAGGACTATTGAAATCTAATACAGGTTTTAATCCAGGTAAAAAGAAAATGTTCATGGTGATATAACTGTGACACAATTAATCAAGCTTTAGTTTAAATTGTTATTTATTAGAGACCCCTTTATATTCCTTCCCATGCTGAGATTTGAAGCTTATTCTTGGATAAGTCTGCAGTATAGCCTGGTAGTTAGGGAGCCTATATTTTAGAGTCAATTTAGGGTTTGATCCCTGATATTATCATTTATGTTAATTATCTGACATTGCGAAAATGGATTTCTCTCCTTGAGGCTTGTTTTCTCTTCTGTAAGATATACATAATACCTTAGAGAGTGTTGGGTAGGATTAGTAATACATAATATATATAATGCTCTGGCTCTTGGGAATTCCTCAATAAATATTAGCCTTTAGTGTAGGTGTTACTGTGGTTGCTGTTGCTAAGAGCATTGTTGCAAAGGAATTTATGGCTAAAACATTACTAACAGTTTTGTTGTTTGTTTCTCAGGTGGGGTATAGTTCCAGCTGGCCTTTGGAGGATGAGAAAAGAGCCACAGGCTACCATAAGGAAGTGAAAAAGGTATATTTGTCACTGCATTGGGAACCTGTTGCCTCTTGGGGAAGAGCCGACCCCAATGGCTGCCATAGGCTTGCTCTACCCTCCTCCTTCCCTGATGTCTGTGTGCTCCATTTGGGTTTCTGTGAAGAGTCATTGGAAAGAAGAAGACTGAAAGAAACCTTTATTTTCAGAGCTTGAAAGGTGCTTTTTAGATGATATGAAGGGAGAGAACTGAAACTCCATAGAAATTCTAGGTTGGCCCATTACTATGAACATGAATACAGAGAAATCACACTGCAAGGGAACCCTATCTGGGGAGCAGGAGATTCCAACTGTCACAAAGATACTCACCATTGATGGAGAGACTGTTCCTGTCCAGGATGTAGGGGCCCAGCTGAGTGACACCATGAGTCTGCTGGCTTAGCTCCCAGAACAGCCGTTCTGTGTCCAGCTTGAAGCCTGTGGGATCTGGGTGATGGGTGCAGATTATATTCACTGTGGTACTTGTTTCCTCCTTTTCAGCCCTGGAGAAGGGGGACATAGGAATCAGGACATATAAAAGGTGAATACTCTTGACCACTCCTTCCTTCAGTTGCACCCCTTAGTTTTCATATCAGCACTCTTCCCTAGATTTCATTTGCTTTCTCAAACACATCTTTTTTGTCTCATGTTGGGATCCAGATCCTCCACATCCTTAAATGCAGTGTTCTACAGGTTACTATAGCCATTCCTTAGGTAATGTTCTTCTTGACCCCATTATCTTTTTATTAATTGGTTGAAGCCCCCAGGATACTCCCTGTTCATTCATGACAGCAGGTACAGATGGTGTCACTCCAGTAATAGTTCAGGCCTGCTTGGGCCATAGGTTGGGGGTGTGGGGCCCTCAGGGAAAAAATACTGAGGATCCTAGGGCCAGGTAGCACGCGGAAGGAAAAAGCAAGAGGATTGGAGACCCTGGGGAATGTGAGTGACTCACCCAAGCGGCTGGTTGTGACACTGAGCAACAATCATCACAGTGCCTGAAAGGGGGGATTTTACTCCAAGATGGTAAATCCCAAGGCTGAGGTCAACACTTTGGGAACATGTTTTGGTCAGACAACCAAGTTTGAGGAAAACCAGAGAAAATAAGTTAAAAAGTAATCAGGGAAAATTGGTTTAAGAGTATTTTTGTTCTGAATTTAAGCTGAGCCTACACTCAAAGCAGAAGCTTTACAGGTAGAAAGATCTCCTTCCTCCCTTGCCTGTGAATTATGCTTGCTCTGATCCATACTATTCAAAGCATTCCCATTTTATACCCACATAGTGTCAGGTAGTGGTTCTCAAAGTCTGGCCCATGGACCCCTGGTGTTCCTAAAACTATTACAGGGAGTCCACCAAGTAAAGAATATTTTCTGGTACAGCCACTATGGAAAAGTCTGGAGATTTCTCAAAAAATTTTAAAAAAAATTTATTTTTATACCTTTTATTTATATACCTTTTGGCCCAGCAATTGCACTTCTGGATATTTATCCAAAGAAAACCAAAATTTATAAAGATCTATGCACTCCTATGTTCATGGCAGCACAATTTACAATAGCCAAGATATGGAAGTAACCTAAATGCCCATCAACAGATGATTAGATAAAGAATTTATGGTTAATATATACAATGGAATATTACTCGGCCATTTAAAAAAATGAAATCCTACCATTTGCAGTACATGGTTGGACCTAGAGGTTATTACATTGAATGAAATAAGTCAGAGAGAGAAAGATAAATACCATATGATTTCACTTATATGAGGAATCTAAGAAATAAAAAGAACAAAGTATCAAAAACACACTCACAAACATAGAGGACAATCTGGTGACAGCCAGAGAGGAGGGGATTTGGGGAATTGGGAGAATGGAGTGAAGGGTTAAAGAAGTACAAATTGTAATTGATAGATGGTCACGGGGGTGGGAAGCGCGGCATAGGGAATGCATTTAGCATTAATGTAATGGCTAGGTGGAGAGCCAGAGGAGAGAAAGAGCAGTTAGGGGGATCATTTTATAAACTACATAAATGTCTAACCAATGTACTATATACTTGAAACTAATAATAAAATTAAAATATATATATAATTTTAAAAAGAATATTTTTATATCATCCTAAGACATTATTCTCATGTTCATTATGTGAGAATTATACAGTGACATTCTTTCCGGAGGCTATGAGGTGAAATAGTGTAAAAAAATTGAATGCAGAAGCAAATACCTTGGTATTATCTACTAAGCCAGATATTGAAAGGACTTGCAAAAATGTAAACAATGACCCTCTTCTCATTGTGCTTTTTTGGGGAGGAGAAGAGAAATATGGCTATTGTTTATAAAAATATGTCATTTATGTTAACATGTAATAGATTTATTATTTTAATGAATGAGTGAATATAAAATTTGTTTTAATTTCTAGAATAGTAAATATGGGCAGATTTTACCCCAAGTCCAAAGGCTTTTTGAAGTTCTGAGTACTTTTTAAGAATGAAAATGTTGAACCCAGGAAGTTTGAATACTGCTGACATTGTGGTTAAAAGGAGGGACTCTAGAACTAGAACACCAGTTCAAACCCTACTTCCTCTCCAGCAAGCAAATTTCCTGCTCTGAGCTTCTGTGTTCTCATATGCGAAGTGGGATAATAATGATGTTGTTGCAAGGATGAAGTTAATGAAAATATGTAAATCACTTAGATTATTGGATGGCATGTACTATGAGCAATGTTATCATTATATTATTGATATCCCCATATTATGAAAAGATGGGGTGGGTGTGGTGAGCTAAGCTCATTGGAAGACACTTAATGTATGATACTCCAGGAATCTCTCCTCATGGAGTGACATGAGTCAAGGACCCACCTCTCAGGCAGGATGACTTGAGCTGGCTGTATGCAGAAATCCACGGAGAAGCCATAGAGTCATCAAGTATAAGGAAAAGGTCCTGAGCCCAATGACCTCAGAGGATACTTTGTGAATGTAGGCAAAGAAAAGAAGACAGGCTATTTCTGCAGAGTTCAGGTCCATCTGAGAGTATTAAAATTGCAATATATCCTGCTGGTACTCAACATTTAGTTTGTTTTTCCTTTCAGTTTAGTAAGACTTCTTTGGGAAAGTCCCTACCTCTTTTCAGGGAATAAACTGCAGAACTTTAGTGCTCAGAGTTTGTCTCCAGTAGGGTAGATATGAACTGGTACAGGGAGAGTATTAAGGGCTGCGCGAAGATAATTGGTAAAGATGCTATGCTAGCTGGAACTATGAGATCCCATTAATTGAACATTCATAATGGAGCAGGCATTGCAATGAAGATTAACAATCCCAAGAGTAAGGTACTGTTATTATCGCCTTTTTATAGATAGTGTGATTGAAGAACAGGAAGGTTGTTACTTGCCCAAAGTCACACAGCTAGCAAATGGAAGAACAGAGGTTCAAACTCAGGCACCTTAAATCCACTGTTATACTGTCTCTCAGTAAAGGTACAAGTAACTGTGGTTGACCAGGGCGGGGGAGGCAAGAAAGGAGAGAAGTAGGGTTCCTGTAGGTGCTTCGGAGGAGGTCTCACCTGAGCAAGGCCAGTCTGCAGCCAGCATAGAGGGAACCAATGCTGCTGTTCTTGAACAAGGGCCCCAGCTGGGAAGGAATGAAAGGGACATGAGCAGGAGGGGCCAAGACAGCAGCCTGTGGCATGATGGGGGAAAAGTAAGAAGTGGTAGGGGGCTCTCACCAGCTGCTGCAGGTGTCTCTCAGTGGCATTGAATATCTCAGAACCCAAATTTCCCATGTCCTCCATGTAGTGCAGATTGGTAATGGTGAAGTTGACAATAAAATGCATCAAGAAAGGAATTACAGCTGCAATGAGAGAGAGTAAAATGAAGCCAAGTCTTCAGTCGGGCCTGGGGCTGAGGATGGAGGGTAGGGTTCTGATGTACACCTTAACTCCAGTGCTAAATCAGGGCCTTGCCCAGGCTGTTCTCCTTAAGACATTTCATGTAGAAGTCGCTGTCCAAGACCTTCACACACAGGGTGATGAACCATCCCAGTTTCCCTGAAACCATGTGGAGTCCTGGAATGCAGACTTTCAGTTTTAGAAATGTGACTGTCCCAGGCAAACTAAGAAGCGTTGGTCAACCTACTCCCACTTCCCCTTGACTCTTACCATTTCGGCACCTGCCAGCACTTGCATCTCTTTGTCTTAGGGAAATTAACAGGCCCAGGGAGTATCCCTCTAGCAAAATTGTTGAGAGTTTGTGGATAAATACCCCAGCTTCCTCACCCTATATCGGTTGACTCTAAGGTGCATATTGTATGCATTCGCTCCTCCAGGATCCATAACTGTGAGACAAGTTTCTGTTGTTGAAGCCTGCCAGTTTTTGGTACTTTGTTATGGCTGCTCTGGCAAACTAATACACGAAATGACCCAACAATTCCTTTTCTGGTGAAGTAAGTCCTCACTTAATATTGTCAATAGGTTCTGTGACTTTAAGTGAAACAATGTATAAAGAAATCAATTTTACCATAGGCTACCTGATATACACAAGAGTGAAGTTCCTATGGCATCTCACCAATGTTATAACAAAACGATATTGAACAAATTGATGTTGTTTGAGGATCTGCTGGTACTTGTACATCCATGTTCATAGCAGCATGATTGACAAGTCAAAAGGTAGAAACACCCTGAGTATCCATTCAATAGGTGAATGGACAGATAAAATGTGGTCTACTTGCAGAATGGAAAATTGTTCACCCATAAACAGGAATAAAGTCTTGACACATACTACAACATGGAAGAAACTTGAAAACATTATGCTAAAATAACTGAAATAAGCCAGTCACAGAACAAAAAGCATATTGTACAATTCCTCTTACATGGGATATCTATAATAGGCAAATTCATGGAGATAGTTAGTAAATTAGCAGTTACCAGGGACTAAGTGGAGTAAGGAAAGGGGAGTTATTGTCTAATGGGTACACAGATCCTGTTTGAGGTGATAAAAAAAAAATTTTAGAAATAGATACAGGTGATAGATAACAACAGTTTGGATGTAATTAATACCACTGAATTGTATATTTAAAATGGTAAAAATCTATATTAAAGAGAGAAAATTAAAAAGTTATTCTTACTTTTTCCTGAAGTCACACTCACAGAGGCCAAGGTAGATATCTCAGGTGTGGTCACAGGGACAAAAGAACTTCCAGATAGTATACTCGAAGTGGTTGTAATCTCAGCCATGGTAGAGCCTGAATGTGTGGCAGCTGAGTTAGTGGTCTCAGGAGTTGTAGTTTTCAGGATAGTAGTTGGACTTGATCCATCTCCATAACTGGTTTTAGGTGCAATCAAGGTCACAGTGCCCCCAGTTACAGTCTTGGAAAATTCTGGGAGTCCAACTGAGGCTGCAGGTGATGAGGCTTGTGTGCTCCAGGAAGTTATGGTATAAGATTCATCTGTGGTTGCAGGGGTACTGGCAGGCCCAAGAACACCAGAGAAATCAGTCAGAGTTGTAGTATCTGTACTGGTTTCTGATGCTGGACTGGTGGCCAGTAAGCCTGTGGTCTCTGATAAACCATGGAAAAGAGTTGAAGTTGAAATAGTTGTGCTGAGGTCTGTCCCAGGGGTAAAAAGTGAGGCTGTTTCTACAGGAACATGTAGTGAGACAGTTGGACTCAGATCAAATCTGCTAGTCTCATTCACAAGTGTGGTGAAGACAGAGGATGATGCTTTTGGTGGACCAAGAGAAACAGTCCGAGTTGGAAGAGCTGCACTAATCTCCGAACCAGGTCGTATGGATAGTGAGGTTGTGATATCTGGTAAATGAGGGAAAACAGCTGAAGCAGAAAAATTTACACTTGTCTCTGAACTGGGGTGGGTAACCAATAAGGCTACAGTTGCTGGTTCGCCAGAAGAAAGAGTCAGAGTTGGAATGGCCATGCTGGCATCCATCTCAGAAATTGTGACTTGTGAGGTTACCTTATCTGGTACACCGGGAGAAATGATTGGAGTTGGAGCAGTTGAACTGGCTTCTGCCTTAAGCTTAGTGTCCATTGAAGATGTAGATTCTGATTCATTATGGGAAACAACGGGGGTTGTTTGGGGAATAATTAGGCTGGTCTCTGCAGAATGGGTGTTCAAGGAAACTGTTGTATCTGGCTCACCAGCAGAAACGGTCAGGGTTAAAACAGCTGAATTTGCTTCTATCTCAGAATGTGTGGCCCATGAGGCTGTGGTCTCTTGTTCATGTGGGAAATCAGTCAGAGTTGGAAAAGTTGTACTTGTCTCTGCTCTAGAACTAGTAAGCAGTGAGGTCACCACTCCTGATACATCAGGGGAAACAGCTGTAGTTGGAACATCTAAACTAGCTTCTGCCCCAGGACTGGTGGCTGTTGAGAATGTGTTATCTGATTCATCGTGGGAAAAATTTGTAGTTGTTCTTGAAACAGGTGTGCTGGTCCCTGCAGAATGTACCCTTAAGGCTGTTGAATCTGTCTCACCAGGGGAGATAGTCAAAGTTGGAACAATGGAACTGGCTTCTGTCCCAAGGAAGGTGATCCATGAGTCTGTAGCCTCTGGTTTGTGTGGGGAATCAGTCAGAGTTGGAAAAGTTGTATTGATCTCTGCCCCAGAACTGGTGCCCAGTGAGGCCACCAGCCCTGGTGCAATAGAAGAGACAGTTGGAGGTGAAATGGCTGAGCTGATCTGCACCCCAGGATGAGTGGCCAATGAAGCTGTGATTGCTGGTTCGCCAGGAGAAAGAGTCAGATTTAGAATAGCTGTACTGGCATCTGTCTCAGAGCTAATGACCTGTGAGGTATCTGGTACACCAAGAGAGACAGTCAGAGTTGGAACAACTGAACTAGCTTCTGTCCCAGCGTTGGTGGCTGATGAAGGTGTGCTGTTTAATACACTATGGGGAAAACTAGGCATTGTCTTGGAAACAATGCCCTCTGCAGGATGGTTGACCAATGAAACTGTTGTATCTGGTTCACCAGAGAAATCAGTCAGAGTTGGAATAGCTGAACTGGCTTCTGTTTCAAATTGGATGACCCAGGAGGCAGTGGTCTTCAGATGAACTTGAGAATCAGTCAGAGTTGAAAAAGTTGCATTGGTCTCTGCCCCAGAACTAGTGGCCCGTGAGGTCACCACCTCTGACACCAAAGGTGGGATAGTCCTAGCTGGAACAGTTGAACTGGCTTCTGTTCCAGGACTGGTGGCCCTTGAGGATGTGCTGTCTGATTCACTATGGGAAGCATAGGGAGTTGTCTGGGGGGGAAATGGGCTGGTATTTGCAGGATGGGTGACCAAAGGGACTCCTGCATCTCGTTCACCGTTGGAAGAGCTAAACTGGCTCCTGTCTCAAAACGGGTGACCCATGAGGCTGTGTTCTCTGGTTTGTGTGGGAAATCAGTAAGAGTTGGAAAAGTTGTACTTATCTCTGCCCCAGAACTGGTGACCAGTGAGGTCACAGCCCCAGAGGAACCAGTCATAGTTGGCATAACTGAACTAGTCTGTGCTCCAGAATGAATGACCCATGAGGCTGTGGTTGCTGGTTCACGAGGAGAAAGTGTCAGAGGTGGAATAACTGTACTGGATTCTGTCTCAGAACTAGCGGCCTGTGAGGTCACCATATCTGCTACACCAGGGGAGATGGGTATATTTGGAATAGCTGAACTGGTATCTGTCTCAATACTGGTGGCCACTGAGGGAGTGTTGTCTGAATCATCATGGGAAACAGGGGTTATCCTGAGAACGGTTGAGCTGGACTCTGCAGGATGGGTTACCAAGGAGACCTTTGTATTTGATTCATGCAGGGACTCGGTCAGATTTGAAAAATTTGTACTGGTGCCTGTTCCAGAATTAGTGATGAAGGAAGTCACCATAGCAAGCGCACCAAGTGAGACAGTCATTGTTGGAATGGCTGTACTGGATCCTGCCCCAAGACTGGTGGCTGTTGAAGATGTGATATCTAATTCGCTATGAGAAAAAGATGTGATATCTAATTCACTATTAGGAGTTTTTCTGGAAACAGGGGTGCTTGTCTCTGCTGAATGGACCAAAGAGGTTGCTGTATCTGGCTCATAAGGAGAAACAGTTATAGTTGGAACAATGGAATTGGCTTCTACCTCAGGATGAGTGACCCATATGTCTGCTGTCTCTGGTTCATTCAGGGAATCAGTCAGAGTTGGAAAAGTTGTACTAGTCTCTGCCCTAGAACTGGTGACCTGTGATATTTCCACCTCTGATACACAAGAGGAAAGAGTCAGAGCTGAAATGGCTGAATTGGTCTTTGCCCCAGGATGGGAAACCAATGAGACTGTTGTATCCGGCTTATCAGGGGAATCAGTCAGGATCTGAACAACTGGGCTAGTCTCTGCTCCAGAACTAGTATCCGGCGATGTCATTAGCCCTGGCAAACTAGGGGAGACAGTTGAAGTTGCGGTAGATGAACTGCTCTGTACCCCAGGATGGGTGATCCATGAATCTGTGGTCTCTGATTCATCTGTAGAACTAGTCAGAGTTGGAATAAACATACTTGTCTCTGCCCCAGGACTAATAACCAGTGAGGTCACCATCCCCGGTATACTAGGGGAGACAGTCAGAGTTGGAAGAGTTAAACTGACTTTCTCCCCAGAACTGGTAGCTGTTGGAAGTGTGCTGTCTGATTTGCTATGGGAAACATTCAGGGTTGCCCTGGAAACAGTTGGTCTGACCTGCACAGGATGGGTAACCCTTGAGGTTGTGGCCTCTGGCTCACCAAAGGAAACAGCCAGAGTTGGAACAGCTGAACTGGTTTCTGCCCAAGAACTAAGGACCAGTGTGGGTGTGGTCTCTGATTCTCTATTGAACATAGATGGGGTTGTCCTGGAAAATGCTGTGCTGGTCTCTGCTCCAGGTCTGGTGGCCAAGGCAGCTGTCATCTCCAGAACATCGGGGGAAACATCTGGGGTTGTAACGATCATTCCTGTTGTGCTTGTGCTGGCCGTTTTACTTGATGTCCTGAGGAGAGTCAACATTCCCACAGTAGGAGTAGAGACTCTGGTGGTCAAAATCGCTGTGGTGGTGGTCTCTGCTCTCTCTATTCCTCCTGTTGGTAGTCCTGTGAATTGCAGGTTGGACATACAGTTTGGACACAACAATTACCATTTACTAGACTAGCAAGAGCTTATTTTTTCTCCATATGAGAAAAGGGAGAAAAATGTCTCTGTCTGAAATGTATCTGAAATGCTTCTGGAATAGGAAAATGAATTTGATTGACATTCCCCTAACTTCCCCGTCTCATCTTGGGCTATAACTCCTCCATGAATTCTTGACCACATCCTGTTTCCAAATGTTTCTGTACTCTGCAACCTGTGAGTCTTTGTTCAAGCTATTTTCTCTGCTTGCCATGCCCACTTCTCATAAGATTCCTTACTTTCTGTCCTACTTCAAATCTCAGCTCAAATCTACCTTTACAAATCCATATCAGAATTCACCTCTCCCTGCTCATTATCACTTTATTATACTGTCTAAACCTGTACTACGCCATGCCTCAGTGTCCTTGGTAATAGCTATTAATGTCTGCTTGCTTGGCATATAGTAGGTACTCAATAAATATTTGTTAAATTAATGAATTAATTAATAAATGAATACATAGATGGATAGATACACATAGGCATGTCTCCTCTTACTTGAGAGAGATCATGTATCATTGTGCTTAACAGCTTGGGCTCTGGAATTAGATAGTCCTTCACTAAGATTCTGGCTCCTCCACTAAACAGATGTATTACCAAATCTTGCTAAATCTCCATTTTCTTATCTGTAAAGTAAGGATAAGTATAGTGGCCATCTCAGAGTGTTGATAAAAATGCACCAAGAACAGTGCCTCCTAGCTCACAATAAGACATTATTACTACTACCACTATTGTTATCTACCATTACTACTGTTATTACTACTGTTATTATCGCTGTTACCTATTGTTACTGCTGTTAGTATTACTGTTACTACTACTGTTGCTAGTACTATTACTCTCACTGCTGCTAACTACCATTACTGCTGTTACTATTACTGTTGCTAATATTGTCATTATTATCAACAGTAATGCTACTACCTACCATTATGTTGTTATTACTACTGTTACTACTGCTATTAATACTACCACTTCTACTATCTGCCATTACTACTGTCACTCTTACTATTGCTATTACTACCGTTACTATGACTACTAGAGTTGTTACTACTGTTGCTACTACTATTACTACAGTTATTACTATTGTTACTGCTATTATTGCTGTTATTACTACTACTTCTACTTTTTGTACTTCTACCATAAAATAAATGTTTACTAAATTGAATTTATCAGAAAACACACTGGCTTGCCAAGGTGCCTGAAATTTAGCCTCTGAGGAAGAGTAAAGTGGCATTGGCTGAGACAGCAACTATTGACAAGGGCTTCAAAAAATGATTCTCAGGAAGGAGGAAGAACCACCTGGAGGCTCCTCTATAGAAATCACAAAGCCTACTGGAGCTTGGTGCAGGAAAGGAAACAAAATTAAGAGGATTTTGACTCTGATAGTGAAGTCATGCCCTTCTGTTGCTGAGAATACCCTGAAAAATATAGTTCTGAGAGTAGACATTATAAAGTCCTTAATATGTATTTGATGATGATGATGATGATGATGATGATGATGATGATGATGATAGCAATGATGAGCAACTACAAAGCACCTGGCATGATTTCTCTTCTCTCTTTGATCATCACTAAAACATTGAGTGTACACTCTATTATTGTCATTTTACAGAAAAGAAAAACAGAAACAAAGATCATAATTTGCCAAGGCCACACAGCTATTAACTGATAGTGTGGAAATTTGAACATAGTTTTGTCTGCATCCTAAACCTATGTTCATAATCACTGTATGTATTAGTTCTCTAATTGAATTTAAAGATCTTGTGGAGTCCAGGATGGAAAGACAAGGATGTGAGGGGAAAATGTCCATTTGGGGAGAGTAACAAGAATTGTCTAGTTCATTGATTCTCAGCTTGGGGCAGTTTTGCTCCCAAAGGACACTGACTATGTTGGGAGACATCTTTGGTTATCGCAACTGTGTGTATATGGAGGGTACTACAGGCATCCAGTGAGTATAGACCAGGGATACTGCTAAACATACTATAATGCATGAACAACCCCCTACAATAAATAATTATCTGCCCAAAATATCAATGGTGCTGAGGATAAGAAACCTTACTTTATATTGAAAGGAGTCAATGGATATTATTGGCTATAACTCATAAAATTTGCTATATAAATGTTAGTTTTCACCTGAAGCCTGATGATCCATTCATTAGTGACCTGAGGTAGCCAGCTCTGTCAATACCCACTCACATTTCATAAGCACTCACTGTTGCACTGTTGCACTTAGTGACCCCAATGGGATCCTATGGCAGCCCCTTAGACTTCACTCAGTCTGTAAGTGGGGCAGGCCAGAAATGCTGAGGGATATCACCTCAAAAAGCAAACAGGCTACAGTCAATGATAAAAGGAAGTTGGATGATAAATACCTCAGGCATTTCACTCCTTGTATAGGACAATGCTGAAGTGTTCTATGCTATCTCTCTGAGGTCCTCAGTGGTATTGACACTCTGAAGCCCACGCCTGTGACCTGCTCATGATTGCACCTTGAATCAACTTTCTTCTTGCATCAACTTGTTTTCTCCAGTACTTCCTAGGATCAGCCTCCACTTGAAATAAACTACTCACCCCTCATCCTTAATTCAATTCTGCTTCTTGAGACCCAACCGAAAATACCTGGGTTACAGGATAAAACTAATAACCTGAATGGGGGTGATTCTGTCCAAAGCCTGGATCTTGCAAAAAGTCTCCATAATGTACTATTAAAATAGTCTGGTCTCTAAAAAACTTGGGAGTAGTTTAACAGGTATGGGGAGCTTTAACTTTTAGCTATGTAGTGAGGAGAACCTCTTGCTATATAAACCTGTACCTCTTAAACTCTCAAGCAGAACAATAATACTGTGAAATGTTAGTAGGTGCCTGTCATACAAAAAGATTATGCAGTCAAATAATTGCATAAACCCTGTATTGAATAAAGCTAAACAAGTTTCTTTACAGTAGGATTTCTCAGAGCCTTTACTATTCTTATGCATGTTATAACTTTCCAGGAAAGAAAAACATATTTACCAAAATTTTTGGCCAAACTTCTTTGTCTTTTTGTTAAAGGCTATCCAAGCATTACCAAGGTTTAGAGGCTTTTTGAATACTGTTTTTTGCCCATGCCTTTGGTCTTATCTCCCACCATTTCATCCTCATATTTCATACTTTAGCAAAAGTGAATTTTTTGTAACAACCAGATATTTCCAGGTTTTATTCCTCTCTGTGCATTTGCATATGGATTTTTCCGCTATTCAGAATGACTTCATAAACTTCCTTTGTCTTCCTGATAAACCCCTATTTATCCTTTCAAATGCAATTCAAATATTACCTGCTCCATGAAGCCTTCCCTCTACAGATGTGTATACACACACACACACACACACACACACATTCACATCACACTTTTAAAGCTGTATCATAATTACTTTGTTCCTTTGCTGTCTTTTGTCCCCTTCTGAACTAGAGCAACATGGGTGCAATGCCAAAATATTTTCATCTGCTCATCTTTGGTTTATAGCATAGTCTCTAACACACAATAAGCTATTAATAAGCATTTTCAGAATTAAACTGAGTTGAATTTGGGAAGTTGACATATTCAACCTTGAACTAAACTCACTTGGCATGTTATGAGGGAAGGGAAAATGGTAACATCCACCCTGTCACCATCAGACAAAGATCCAGCTAAGACAAAACCATGGAAATCCACATAATTTTTTTTCTAAGAAAACATTTAGGATTTTCCAGTCAAGATGGTGGAGTAGGTAAGTGCTATGCTTAATCTTTCTCACAACCACATCGGAATTACAACTAAACTATTTAACAGCCATTATTGGGAGTCACCTGAAATCCAGCTGATCAGAAGTCTTGCAACTGAAGACATAACCTCAAGACTGGGTGGAGACCCGAATGGGCTGGGCCCACTTCTCCATGTGTTGGTTGAGAATCAGGAGTAATATTTCAGCTGTGGAGGTCCCCCACAGAGAGGTTCTGGCCCCGCACCAGGCTCACCAGCCCAGGGTTCCAGTGCTCAGAAGAGAAGTCCCCACAACTCTGGCTGTGAAAACCAGTGGAGATTGTGTCTGAGTGAGACGGAGGATGGCTGGAGTTGCAGACATTCTTCTTCAGGGGTCCACACATGGACTTACTCACTGATTGACTCACCCACTCTGAGCTTCAGCACTAGGACAGCATTTCAAAAATCACCAGGGACAGGGAGGAACTGAATTGTCTAGTTTCAGGGCAAGGTCTAGGTGGGCAGCTTTCTTCCAGACAGAAGTACTGGCAGAATACATTGTTTCTTTGTTGAGCTCTGCCCGCTTTCAGCATGTAGATGCAAGTGACAAGATATGTGAGTCTCCATCAGTATGACTAACACTGGTTGTCCTGCCCTAGTGATTCCCTGAGACAATTCGTAGGCCCACCCAAGCCAATCCCAGTAGACTTTCCATACAAATGGCCTGTCTTGGCTCATGCTGCAGACTTTCCTAAAATCTCTCCAAGGTTCACAAAACCCAAACAAGCATCCTTTGGCCTCTGCATGCCCTGTACCTCTTCTAAGCACCCTCAAGCCTGGTACTAGCAGCAACTGGCCTTGGATAACAGCTTGGCCTCTCAATGCACCTCCAAGCCCAGTGTGGGTGACATCTATTGACAGATTGCTGGGTGACTCTTGCCAGGGCACAGGCTGCAGCTGAACTTGATCTGCAGTGGGGCCCCTCCTAGAAAGTTCCAGATCTAGCACACCTGGTGGCCAGCTTCAGTCTGAAGCCGAGCACCACCTGGAGCTGCATCCAAGGATGCCACATCCAAAGGGTAGACTTGGCAGGCATCAGAGCCCTGCTAAAGTGAATGCTCTTCCATAGAGTTAGTCCTTGCACAATAGCTCCTCCCCTGTAGTCACCGACCAGTATTCACAACCAATCAGCCCGAGGGTCAATCCTTCCCATTG